ACCTTGTTCCCAGAAGCATCTTTTCCCTTCCCATCCTCCTCCACATGAAAGCAGAGGTTCTCCAGCAGGATAACAGACCCAACCGATGGGTTAGCACAGGCTTTCTCTACTTCTGGGCCCACACAGTCCTTTAAGAATAGATCATCCTTGCCCAGCAAGAGATTTGAGTTCTACAGCAACTGGCTGTAAGGAGTACTTGTTAGGCATTGGGACACCATCTGGCCAGCCCAGGTGGCTCGTAAGGACAACTGATTTGGCTTCATTGTCCAGGCAGAATTTGATGCTTGGGACAGCAGCCTTGATTCTTTGATTCTTGGTCATCTAGTTATTCTTCATAGGAACATTGAAATCCACTCTCATTATGACTTGCTTCCCCTTCACTTCCAGCTTGTCCAGTCAGCTTGTTAGAAAGTGTTATTTTGGTAATAGGGGGGAGCCAAGAAGCCGGGGACTCAGAGGCTGTCAGTGCATCTATAGAGCTCTGGATGCACGCAGAACTGCCTTTTTTGTCTGCTTCTGCAGATTAACTTTGTTTTTTCTGGTTATAGATTGGTTTTAAAATTCTTATGTTTATTAATTTTTGAGTAAATACTAGAGATTCTTTTATGTTGATGAGCTTCTGGACCTCTGTGTGTGTGTGTGTGTGTGTGTGTGTGTGTGTGTGTGTGTGTGTGTGCTTGCTGTATCTTTCTTAGAGATCTTGGACTTTATTTTGGCAAATAATTCAAGTTGCAGGTTGCTTGATCCCTTCACATCCCCATCTGAAAGCTCCCCTAGACCTACTTTCGTCCTAGGAGCAGTCAGCTTTCCTAAATAAGACTTGATGCCTCTACTCTATACTTTTAATAAGTCAGCAGGCCACATGAACTCTTCACTTCAGCTGTTGAGAATTAGGACATTTCTCTGCTTTGTTTGAGCTCCTTGGAATATTCATCTTATATTTACCTTTTAGTCCCTCCCTCCGTCCCCCCCCCCGTCTGTTCCTTTTTGCCTATTTGTAGAATTCCATTGTCTCCAAGCTTGGACAGTACTGAACAAAGACTCAAAGGAAACCTTTTGTAGAATTCTGTAATTCCCCCCCCCCCCCCCCAGGATTGGTATTGTCCCCTTCAGGCTACCTCAGCCTTCCTGAAATATCATTTGTACTCTTCTCAGTCAGTGAATGTGCTAGGCCTTGTCTGGGTTTTCTCTGTGTTCATCATCTAGAAATCACCTTCAGGGAGATAACTGAAGCGATTATTAAATTTGCCTTGTTTGTTTCTCTTCTTTGAGAGATCACAGTTCTGTGTTGCCTGATGTCTAATGACTGAAAACAGTTTTTTGGGGCCAGGGAGATGGCTCAGTAGAATAAGTGCCTGCCTGACTGAGAACAGTTTTTAAATGTATTTTAGTCTGTGCTGTACTTGTTTGTAAAGTGGGAGGTTATGTCTGTTTTTTATTATGCCTTCAAAGCTGGAAGCTTGCTTGTGCATGCGCTTGTGCTTGCTTGTTCACTTTCTCTCGCTCACTTGTTCTCTCTCTGTCTCTTTCTCTGTCTCTCTGCCTCTCTCTCTCTCTCTCTCTCTCTCTCTCTCTCTCTCTCTCTCTCTCTCCTACAAATACTGTACTATTGGCTTTTATACTCCCAAAGAAAAACTTCCTAACCAGCTATTTAGGAAGGGGTTGAGTAGTTGTTACTGATGCTCTTTGATTATGAAGGATCTATTATTTTTTGTGGTAATAAAATTTACTTTGTATTTTATCTTACCTTGAATTAAAAAACATTCTTATAGATGGTAGTGAATCACTTTCAAGAATCACTTACTATAATTTTAAAAGCCATCATTTTGAAAGAGTTCCATGCCATGAAAGTAAGTACTGAAATTTTTTTTTTGCTTGGAATCAACATTCTTCTTCTCATGATAACATTCAACAATGTCTCAGTTATTTGGCTCTTAGTTATTCCATTTAGACATGATCCAGCTCTTCTGCCTTCTTCCTTTATTCTTTACTTTGTATCCTGTATTGTGTTTCACCTTTTGTTTCTGTTAGGGGAGCTGCAAGAGGGAGGCAAGAGTGAACATATGCAAATAAAACTTAGGCATTTGGCTTTTGATTCAGTTTTAAGAAGGCTTAGAGATTTTCAAAAGCAATGTCAAAATCTTGTTGGGAATTCTATGGCCACTGGAAATAGAATTTTTAAATACTCATATAAATGTTCAATTTCCTATCAGTTATTTATCTGTCATTGATGTGGAAATACACTACACATTTGAATAATCTTTTTAATTTATTATGGTTGTAACATGATTATGCTAGTGAAGGGATAATGGGGGAAAAAGGTAACATTCTTTATTGCCAGGAATCACTGAGTTTTGTACTAATTAGCCTTGAAAAATGTGGAGCTATTTGACAGACCAGATGTTTTCAGCATGAGCCATGTGTCTCATCAGTGAATGTGCCTTGTGTCTGCAGGCAACATTGTTAGATTTTTCTCATTCTGTAAACAATGTTCCAAAATATAACTAAACCCCAAAGTATGTTTATCTTTTTGGCTTAATTTCTGGCTTTCTCTTCATTCTAAAGTTTCTGTCTAAAGGAGTTGCATTTTATTACACATAACTCTTCATACCTAATTGTAGTATAAACACCATTCTGTTTACACTGAACTATGTGAATTGTACTGTTTTTGAGCCTGTAAAACTTAAATAAAAACTATTTCAAATTTAACTATATTTGTACTTTTATTTCTAAATTTAGGAGGAGTAAACCTTTCTTAATTTATTTGGACTAAGATTTTGATTCTTGGAACACATGAGAGAAGCCATAAAAAGAAATAAAACAAACTAGTTCTAAGACTGTAGTGTTTGTGATTCCAAGTGCATTGGCGCAAGAAGAGCTAATGTATCTGCTGTGAAAATTATTCGTTAAGGCCAAACTAGACATCCACATGTTTTAAGAAGTCTTAGGCAATTGAGTGATAAAATTCGTTTTTGTTTGCCTACCCCCCTACACATTTGTCCTATTTCTACCTCTTCTGTTCCTCTTTGTATCTTGAAAGTTCCAGATAACATATGCTGAATGACTTTCTTAAAAATATATTTTCTTGGGCTGGTGAGATGGCTCAGTGATCTAAAGCACCTACTTAGAACAAGCTAAGCCAAGCCAAGCACAGGGATCGCAGTTCAATCCCTCAGCACCACATGCCAGCCAGTCCTGCCCCCAGGTGGGCTGAGCTGGCCACACACACAAAATAAATAAATAAAAATTAAAAAAAAAATATATATATATATATTTTCTTTCTTTTTTTTTTTTTAAAGACATTTAGCAAATGTAGGCACCACTTTTTCTTTTAAATTAGTATATGTTTGAAGTCCATGATGATTACATTCCTTGTGGGTAGTTAATACATTTATATAACATCTTCATATCTTAATTCTTTTTATTCCTTTTCACCTTCTTTCCTGATTCCTCCATCACTAGATTTCCTTCTTGTTTGCAAAAAATCTGTCCCCTATTTCCTAATGTCTCTTATTTTGATTTTTAAATTATTTATATGTAAAGTTTTTCACAAAAGGGAAAATGTATAATATTAAAGTTTGTGTGTCTAATTTATTTCATATAATATATTATGGTCTCAAGTTGCATCCATTTTTCTATAAATGACTCTTTTTCTTCATGCCAAAGTAGTTTTCCATTGTGTATCAATATCATATTTTCTTTACTCATTTTTTTGTTAATGGACGTGTAGGCTCCTTCCCAGATTTTTCTGTTATAAATGGTGCTGTTATATACATTAGTGTGCATGTTTAAACAGCATAAGAGCAAAAGCAAAATAGGAAGAATAGTGGCAACAATGGCTACAGAGAGCAACTCTGTCTCCCTTAAGTTATGTTCAGGCTCTCTGCCCCAGGTTGGGTGTAGTACTCACACCCATAATCCCAACAGCACTTACACCCATAATCCCAGCAGCACTCGTACTCATAATCCCAGTGAATCATGAGTTAATCACAAACTCTAGAAGTCTGCCCCATGAGTACATGAGGCTTGGGGGAACAACTAGACACAATCCATAGTGCTGTTTACATTTTAATTGTTTTACTTTTTCCAGTTTCACTAATAATGCCATTCATTATGGATGTTTCACCATCTTCTCCTAATTTTCTTTTCCTCTAATGTCAGTGAAGTTATTGGCTTTAATGGCTAGCAATGAAAAATGACCAGGAGCAAGGGATTTGGTGTGTGTGGGGAGGTGGGTGGGTGTTACTGGAAGTAGGCCCAGGCAAGAAAACTATAGAGTCCCACCATTGAGCAGTTTTCATGAATAAACATCTTTTGATATGTTGTTCTTCTTTGGTCAGTTTCTAGATCCCTGAAATGGCTTTCTTGGATGGTTTTGTTATGAATTTGAATGAATCACTGGGCAGAAGGTGTGACAGGCTCTTCCTTCTGCTTTAGTTGGAAGTCTATACCAGCACAGGGTATTTCATTTTAGAGGCTGGATTTTTTTTTCTTTTTTCTTTTTTTTTTTGCATTTGAGATGATTTCTTAAAAATTTCTTTTATTCCTTAGCTGACATTTATTTTAAATTTTATATATTACTTGATAAAATCTTTTTAAAAATATTTTTTGATAAAATCTTTTAAAATTATGTCATGAGTATTTTAAAGCATATATTGATTTGTAATCATTCAATCTTTTTCAAATGGGGAGGGGAAGAGGGGAAGAGATGGAAGGAGGAGGTAGGGAGAGAACAAGTGGGAATGAAAGAAGAATGGAGATATGTTTCTTGTATCCTTTCCCTATAAGTAATATAATCATTATTCAATGCAAATATGTACTAATAAAACTGAGAAATGATTTGAGACTTAGTTCATTGATGGTTTCTTTAAAACTCAATACTGAATTTATCATAATGCACAGTGAAAACTAATTTAGGCTAGAAAAGTGTTTCCTGAGGAATAGATCTGTGACCCTAAGGGAGATTGAGTTTAGCTAAAGGTAATCAATTCCTTTTGTAGGCATTATCCTGCACTGAAAACTCTGGAACACCTAGAGCATACCTATCTGCCTCAAGTAAGCCATTATCGATTCTGCAAGGTGATGGTGGACAACATCCCCAAGCTTCGAGAAGAAATAAAAGATGTTTCTATGTCTGATCTCAAAGATTTCCTGGAGAGCATCCGCAAACATTCAGACAAAATCGGAGAGACAGCCATGAAGCAAGTAGGTCTTGGGTTTGTGATAGGTTGGACGTTATCTTTGTACATACTCAGTTGAACATGGATTTCTTTTGCCAAGTGTCTTGATTGTTTCTTACCATTTTAAGAAATTCCTTTATCTTAGGAGCATATGATTAAAAATGTTTTTATTATTTTAAATAGAGCAATGAACTATTGGCTAGTATTACTTTGCTCTGTGGATTTCCAATAAATTGGATGTTTACTATGTTAATCAGTTATGATGGGTTATATTGAGGATTTGAAATTAACTTTATTGCTTTTTTTTTTTTATTTTGTTTTTATTTGGGGTCAGGGTTTCTCTAGGTTGCCCAGACTGGCCTTGAACTTGCAATTCTTCTGACTAATGCTCCTGAGCAGCTGGGATTATAAGTGTGTACCACCATGCTAGCTGCTATCTATTTTTTTTTTTTTTTTTTTTTGGCGGAACCGGGGATTGAACTCAGATCCTTGCGTTTGCCAGTCAAGCGCTTATCCTACTGAGCCATCTCACTGGCCCCTTTATTGCTTTTTTTTAAAGAAAATAAATACTTCCCTTCATTTTGATATGATTTGAAGCCTAAAGCAATTTAAAGTTTTCCTAGTTAGTGACTCAACTTACATACCTTTGACTGATTATTTGCTATATAAGCAAGATGTAATATTATACATGGATTATTTCTCATATTAACAGAAATCAATGAAAAAAATCCTATTGGGAAATGCTGTGATTTATAATCACAAAAAGGCTTTTTTTGTCATTATGAATAAAAGAACATTAATGATTTGCAGTAGTTCTTGCTCTTTTGAAGTTTAAGTCACATTGATTATGTTAAATCTCTCAGTATACCTGATGATGTAGCTTACAATAAATAGAAGACTTAGTTGTTTATGTAAAGTGTTCTTTGGTTTCATAAACACCAATTTCTTGAATAGGTTATTTGGAGTTCTTATCATTCTGTGGAGAATGAGGGAATAGATTTTATTTGGAACCATATCTGAGGTTTCAGCTAGCTTTCATGACCTTAGTTTGGATGTCTGATCCTGCAAAAGAGGCTTCCCACTTACGCTTTTCTTAACGTAATGGAGATATTCCACACATATGCTCCTTTAAATCTTGCTGTACTTTACAAAGTACAAAGTTAAAAACTATTTTGATAATAAATCTGGGAGAAATAATTGTGTCATTTTTTTTTAATAGTGGGAGTGAAACAAAATTAATCATTGAAAATATACCTTTGCATAGTTTGGTTTAAGAATAAAGGTATCAAGTAAGACAAGTCTTTATTATATTTGACTAATTTCTTTTATATTAATTTTATTGAGAAAGAAGTAGCAATGAGACAGTTTCAAAACAGGCTAGTAGGACAGTTATAATAATGAATACATATTTGACTAATTTCTGGTAAATTTTAAAATAGGAAAGCCTAGTAAAAAGTCTCTGTGGTTGCTACCCTTTTTAGGGTTGTCATGTAGGCCTTTGCCTGAGAAATATATTTTACTTCACTTTTGATCAAAGAGAAATTTGTTAATAATGTTATTACCTCATTAAGGTTAACTGGTTTCATTTTTAATTATTTGAAGAAATGAATGCCTCAGGAAGAGAAGAGACTTGCTCAAGTTCAAACAACTTTCAGAGGTCAGATCTGTAGAATTCAGGTCAGGTTGAAATGAATTTATCTCCTGTTGTACTCAGTCTAAGTTATTAGCTGTTTGATTTACTTTTATAATATAAAGGAATCTTTAGTGAATTTGGGAGTTCTAACTGCTAAGTCTTCATTCTCCTATAAAATTTTTCATCTCAAGAATTGTCCTTATTGAATGTATTATCCTATGCATATATGTCAACAATCCTTGAATAAGCCTATCTTATTTAAAATTATTTAAACTTTTCTGTGGTATCTAGAATATAAGAATTATATGAGAAATTAATATATACTTTGTATCTAGTAGAAGTTTAATAAATATTTGTTTGAATTAATTGATATTAGAAAAGAGAGTTAGAAAGCAGTTTATTTCTCACTATACTATTTCTCATTATATATGAATTTCTCAAGTGACATTTCTCATTTGTGAATTTTTTCTTTTAAACCCACAATGATGATTTCAAGGGTTTCGAATCTCTCCCTTGAGAGACTCTGCTATCTTTAGTATGAATTTGAAGATTGGAGCAGAAGGGGAGAGACTAATAAATATTGTATATAGAAGGGTTTTTAAGGGGCAGTTGGGATGAACCCTATGCCATTCATCAAAACTCAGTTACTATTTCCATACCCATCTACAAGGAAGGCTGGGATATATAAATGCTGTCTTTAAAGTGAGGATGACACAAATTTAATGACCAGTAGCTAGTCTCTTGGACCCTTTGGTCATTAACTATTTATTTGCTGTCCTCCCGGGCATTGGTTACAGTTACCCCTTCCATAAGGGAGAGAGCCCAGTGGCCCATCTACTCTGGTGGGTGTCTCCAGGATGCTCAGCTTTCTCTATCAGATTCAGACATGGATCTTCATAGGCTGGTAACCAGATAGCTAAAAGTTTTAGTTATATGTGCTTAACCCCAACACAAAGGAAGGTAGGATGGAGTAACTGCCATTTAGAAAATGAAATGAAATAATTATATTTAGAAATAGAGAAAGAATAGGAGACAATAGTATTCTCTCATCCACAGCAATTGTTGGGCAGTCTTCTTGGGCAGCATTGGGAAGTATCTAAGCCTGAGTAAAAGGGAAATTTCTTTGCTTAGTCTTTGATTGTAGAAAGAACTCCTATGTCTCTTTGTCTATTGTTCTCCTGGGTTTTTAGATATACCTTTTTTTTTTTTTTTTTCTTATTTTTATCCAGTACTTTTCTGAAGAGGATGTTGAGCAATAGACATTCATTAGAAGACACATACTTTTCTCTTTGTGTGTTTATGTATAGCTACATCTGCATTTACATTGACTTCTATATCTGTTTATAGCTTTCACTGCCTGTTTTCTCCTCCTGCACGTTTTGGGGTCTGAAGCTCTGCACAGTTGAAAAGCTCTGAACAGCTGAAAGTTTATTTAGCCCAGATTTGTGTTTTTTGCCATTGTTGTTCTCCCATTATAGTCCCAGTCTATTTCCTTCTAGTGGGTCTTGTGTACTTTCCTAAGTGAAATTTTAAGGATGATCATGGAATTTTTTCATGCAATGTTTAGGGAAGCAGTAAAACTAGGGGAGCATAGCCCTTGCCTCAGACCCTTCCCTTTCTTAGTTTAGTGGTTTACTTTGAGGCTGTTTGAAACAGTCAGTGAGAAGTTCATTTTGGAATCTGATCTCCACTTCAGGATTGAGTCACTTTGTTTAGCACAGGTTTCTTTGGAATTTATTGTTCAACCCTTTATTATTCTTTTACTGTTTGGGCTTTCTATAAATTCAGCTTTCTAACCCTCTGAGTCTAAAGTTTCTAGACTTCTATTTCCTGCAATTTCAGTCTGCAAATTCTTTTTGAGTACATCTCTTTTATGTAATACTTTGCAAAAAGCAGATGGGAGATGTTCATATATATGTAACTTTGACTATATATTCACTTATAGTGTTATGTGCTGCAAGTCCAGTAGGCATTTAGTATGACTTCATTTACCATTAGTTATAGTTTTACCAATTGTTTCTTTCTCTATAGTAGCATTCTCCAGCCTTTTAGCTTGTTAAATATGTATTCTTGCTGCCCATTGCCTGACCACTAACCTAATAGTATTTTAGTTTTAGTTGTTGTTATTGTTTTGGTAGCACCATACTTCCAACACAAGTTTCTGAATTTATGAAATAATGTTGTCTGGTATAATAAACTCCAAAATTTCATAATAGAAGTTTTATTTTTTGCTTATATAAAGGGCAAAATAGATATTTCTGGTGTGTTATCTTTTCTTCAAGAGGTGGTCAAGGGATCCAAATTCTTCTCACTTATGGACTGCTGCTCAGCCTATAGTTTTCATTAGTACAAGCAAAAGAAAAAGAAGGTGAACGAGTCATGAGTTTTTCTGAACCAAGCTTGTAAGGGACGCATGTTACTTCTCCCAACAGTACATTGGCCAGAGCGCAAGCATTCCAAGAGAGGTTTGGAAATACAGTGAAGCTGTGTGTACAGAAGAAAGAGAAAAGAGGTTTGGTGGACAGCTAGCTAGTTGCTTCCAGAACCTACTACAATAGGATATAGAACAGTAAATATTTCTCATGTCTCTTGCCTTTTTCTTCATAATTGTCATCTTCCCCAAGAATTTACAGATTCAGTTTTTAGCATTATTGATAATTTTATTTCTAATTTAGAAAGCATGATTTTGACTTTACAATTTTTTTCTTATAGTAACTTTCATTTAAAATATTTCTATGTAGAATCATTGAGAATACAGATTTCAAGGTCTTAATATCTACTGTTGGCTTGGAGTTTTCTAGAAACTATGTAGATGACCACTTTTTCTTGGTGCATGTTCCTCCTTTCCTTCTTTTGTCTTCTGAGTTGCTATAGCTTGGGTAGACTTTGTCCTTAGTACAATGATCTGTTAGGGCTGGGTTGATCAGCTGGCTTCGTTTGGGATGTCCCAGCCATACCAAATCACCAGTATGTTCTAGTGAACATGTTGGGCTCTAGGCTTTTTTTTAAAAAAGAGTACTAGGGACTAAATCTGGGGTCTTCATAATTAGCCATCTCTCTAGGCGTGCCCTCTGCCCTTTTTCTTTTCTGACACCTGAAATTGAACCACGCCTTGTGCTTGGCAGGCAGATGGCTGTGCATGGAGCTATATCCCTAGCTCTTTTCTTATTTTTTATTTTCAGATGGTGTTGTTATCTTGCTAGGTTTGGGTTTCAAATTGTGATCCTACTGTCTCAGCCTCTCAGGGTGCTAGGATTTCTGGTATGTTACTATGCCCAGTTCCAAGTATTTAATCAAGATTATAATCTGAAGCTGTTTCTTGTCTAATTTCAGTATACTATTTGAGGATGATGTCAGATATATCCATCCATCTGGATTTTATTTTTATTGAC